TTTTGAAGGTCCTGGACATCTCAAAATCTTAAGAAGGGGGAAACATGGCCATTCCTCAGAAAGAGACCATTTTTCATTAGATAGCAATTTATAATGCACTAATCAGTCATGCATAATACCTATTTATGTGATTTTTTTAAGTGTTAGGCTTATTTTTATTGTTATTTTCAAATTACAGTTAAACATACACCACATCGTTCATCATCATAACCATATTAAGTGGACAGCTCAGTGGCATTAAGTCCATTCACCCTGTTGTGTACCATTAACCACCGTCCATCCCATTCCTGTGATTTTAAATGATAAATGCCATAGTCCCTGGATTTGCAGCATGGGTTTGAGTAACCCAGGGTTTTTTAGATGATGAAGCTGTGCTATTTGAGGTACGTTTCTTCTGAGTTTACCTTGGCCGTCATGTACATGAGGTTATTTAGGACCAGAGATGTGGCTTCCGGAGAGCCCCAGCCATTCCCTTTCAGCCCGTGAGAAGCGGTCATGTCTCCTTCCCGGTCCTTGACTTCGTCCTCTGGGCTGCTGGGGCTCGACTCTGGGAGGAGGAGCCTGCTGTCCACCAGCTCGATGTTGTGCAGCCAGGGCAGCAGGTAGGTGAGCATGATCTGACGCCCATTGGGGTGCGTCGTGGGGAATCGCTGGCTTACCTCTAAAGAGAATTGAGAGATGTATGTCATCCTATCAGAAGAGACTAAAATACGAACACCAGCTTACGGAGCAAACAGGGCCTTCAGTTTACAAAGTATTTTCACACATAGTAGCTTCCACAAAATCATAAAACTGAGGCTTGTCTGCACACCTGTCACTCCACATCTGATGCTCTGCAGGAAAGTGACATAGCACTGTGGGGCAAGCGCAGGCCTGGTAAAAGCGGATGGAGTGGAAGGCTCCTGAGTTCAAATCCACTGCTAGCAGAAGAGGTACATCAGAGTGGACAAAACAAGGGACTTGGAGTCAGAAGAACACATGGTTAGATTCCAGTTCATCACATACTAGCTGCGTGTAACTCTGGGCTAGCTATTTAACTTCTCTGCTCCTCAGTTTTTTCATCTGTAAGATGGGACTGGTAGGGTCCCACATTGTAAGGATTAAAAAGTATACAGTTGACCCTTGAACAAAATGGGTTTGAACAGCACAGGTCCACTTATAAAGGAATTTTTCAAATATACAGTATAGTACTATAAATATATTTTCTCTTCCTTATAATTTTCTTTTCTCTAGCTTACCTTATGGTAAGAATTCAGTATATAATACTTGGAATTTTTCAAATATACAGTATAGTACTATAAATATATTTTCTCTTCCTTATAATTTTCTTAACATTTTCTTTTCTCTAGCTTACCTTATGGTAAGAATTCAGTATATAATACTTATAACATACAAAATACGTGTTAATCCACTATTTATGTTATTGGTAAGGTTTCTCATCAATGACAGGCTGTTAGTAGTTAAAGTTGCATGTAGAGTTTTGACTGCACAGGGAGTTGGTGCCCCAACCCCCACACAGTGCAAGGGTCAACTATAATCATAGTGTATGTAAAACGCTCAGCACGGTGCCTGTCATCCTGCAGGCTCTTAATCAGCGGTGGTTAGGACTGTCCTAACAATGATTATCATCTTTCCACTAGTCCAGCGTCTTACAAAGTGTCTTCCATAAAACATTAATTGTCGAAAAGTGAGATGTGGACCTCCAAGAGAAATAAACACAGTTCATGGAGTCTACTTGAAAACTGCCTGTGGAGGGCATGCGGAAGGCGTATGCCAAGCACTGCACTTCACTTTGTGAGACGAGTGAATCAAAAGGGCACAGCTCCTGCCCAGCCCAGCCCCTGCTCCGTCACTTCCTCTGACAGCATCTGTGCGTAGTCGCACTGCCAGCTGCCTTTCATTTTATAATCTGCATAAGCTTTCTACAGATAGAGAAGCCAGCTTGATGTGTTTGCGGTAGGCTCTGAAGGAATCTCCTATTTCTCCTATCTAGAGAAGAAACTGTTTTTCCTAAGAGAAATTCAAAAGTTTGGCCTCATGCATGTGTTACTGTCCAGTGTGGCATGTCACTGCACTTGGAGAGCTCACGGCTGCTAACCAATAGAACAACAGAGATACCAGGAATCACACCAAGATAATCTACTGGATCCCCACAACAGTAGCTTTAATTGCTTTGGCCCTGTTCCTAAAATTAAAATTACAATTTTCTATTATGAAGAATAAGAATATATTTAATGCTGTGCACAATCATCAGACAGTGCTAAATTACATTTCACATAGGTCAAATTTTCAAAATTTACTTAATTTCTAAGTTCACGGACAGTATGGCTGACGTTATGGACTGTGATGACATGTACTCTGATCAAAATCTAAATCAGAAAATTCATTGCTTCTAACGTGCTGGGCATTTTCTAGGTGCAAACTGCTGTGCCAGGCATGATAGAAACAGCAAAGACTTACTAGTGATGCGGTTCCTGCCCCTGGGAAGGAGACTCTAAGACGAGTTCTATCCACGAATACTCTGGGGCAAGGGAGACACTGGCAAATAACACAAGAAAGGCACAAACAGAGTGCTTTGGGGGTTTGGTGGAGGAAAATGACTTCTGGTTGCAAAGTTTCAGGACAGCTTTATGGCAGAAGAACTATTTAAATTCTTCTAAAAAGGAGGTGGTCTTCAGAGAGGGGGGAATAATCTAATCAGAAGTAGAGCAGCTGTTATAACATCTGTCTTTTAACAATGGTGTAAAAAACCTATACCACCTCCTAACGTATTACATAATTGATCTATTTATTATGATTATTGTGTCTTGTCTGTCAGACAGAACGTCTAAGAAGGTGGGGGTGTCTGTCTGAGGTATCCCACGCACCTAAGGTCAGCACCTGGATTGGATTGTAAAGGTGTTTTTGAAAGGAAAAGAGAGAAGAGCTCCCACCTCACACACTGAGCACGCATTTTTCTAAAAATTACATTTGCTGCACTATATTATAACCCTATGATCGCACATCTACCTTTATTACTAGACTATGAACCTTTGATGGGAGAGACTGTTTTATTCACCTCTGTATTCCTAGGACCCAAGCACAGCACCGAACACATAGATGACACTCAAAATCCTGGTTGAAGTGAATAAAAATAAATTTTAGTTTTCCAAGAAGAGAATTTACTAAAACAGACTTTTCCACTGATTGGCGTACTATGCAAGATGTCACTAGCTCTGCCTCAGGTAGATGGAGATGTTTGCACGGTAAAGACAGATTTTAAATTAGATTTTAAGAAAGCGTGGAAGTGAGGGGAAGGGGGAGTACGGCTATTCCCAGCAGAAGGAACAGTATGTACAGAAGCAAGGATTTACAAAGGCATGTTAGTCAAAGATGAAGTGAGACTGGAATAGAGGGCTCTTGGATGAAAAGATGGAAAGCAAGTTTGGAAAAGGAGGGTTTATTTTTTTTATTTTTATTTTTTTCCTTTTTTTGTCTTTTTTCGTGCCCGGCAACGGATCGCAACCCTCAGTGTCGCG